CACTTAGTTTTGAAGAATATAAATAATATGTTCATTTCAAGTATATGTATATTTTAGGTTATATTATGTTTTATTTATTCGAAGCATTATTTAAAATAATGTTAATACTAATTAGCAAAATAATTCATTTCATAATTATTAGAATGAATTCTATTTGTACGTTATAATGTTAAAAAATACTGAATCAACTTCTCATATAAGATACCAGAACCGCAAAAAATTGATAAATTTTAAACTCTTTAAAACCACTACCACTTTAAAAAGTATTGGATTATCAAGCATTCAATCTTCTAATTTCAAGTATTCTCGAAGTTTTAAGTCATTTTGAATGAAGTCTTTAAAAAGTATTGGATTATCAAGCATTCAATCTTCTAATTTCAAGTATTCTCGAAGTTTTAAGTCATTTTGAATCATTTGAGACCAAAATTGGAAATAAAACCAAAATTTTAATAAATAATTATCACTGAAGAATGAAATATGATCTGGGGAACGGGAATCAAAAAAAAAAAGATTGACCAAAGAAAATTTTAAATGGGGCTAGATTTTCCAGGTATTAAAAGATTCCAAAAAATGCGCTTTCTAGTTCTAAATTAATTCGATTCTTAGATTATTTTACCTTTGTTTTGAGACTAAGTAAATACACGATCAATGCTTGATCGATTAAGGATTAAGGTGGTATCAACTTAAAGAATTTGAGATATAATGTAGTATCTGTGCTTTGCAATCACAAGGGTCTGTGTTCAAATATCGCACTACCTTTATCAAGCAATAGTGATATCAACTTATCTGCAAAAAAATAAAATATGAACTCCACTAAAATAAGGACTAGAATAACAACTAGAACAGAATAACCAATAGTTGCCTTTCAATAGCCAGAATACATTCTAGTTGCTGATGATAAAATTTAGTTTATGAGTGATTAAAAGTATTCTGAGTGGATTTATTACCCATAATTAAAAATGAACGAACACGTTAACTCGGATTATTAAAGCAAATTTGATTTGCTAAAAGCAAATTTTCAAAAATCAAAAATTTTTATATTTGAACCAGTTTCCGTAGGACTTTAATGGTTTACTATGTTCACTAAGACTAAGCACTGTATCGCTATACCAAGTAGATCATCTAATTTTAATTTTAACAAACGTCAAAAAACTACTCATTTTCTCAAATTTTGATGAATTTTTAAAATTGAACTACTTGTCGTAAGGCCGTAATATTTCAGTAAGTTCTATAAGACCATGGTATATATCACTAAAAAAAATCCATAAAAATAGGCTTAAATTTTTTTTTCAACAGTTAATTACAAGAAAACTGCTTGGTAGATTTTCACCTAAAACCAATCAGTACCATTCCCAAATAATATCTTTTGAACAGTTATTGATTTTTTAAAATCGATTCAGTAGTATGAGCTTAAATGCGGACGAAAAGTTTAACACTTCTTTTCAAATTACAAAGAAACGGCTCGGCCGATCGCTGCACAACACTGAAAAAAGATAATCCACATTAAAATACATAGATTAGCTTTTAAATTTATGCAATCGGTTCAAGCGTTTTTGAGCAAACGTCGATGAAAGTTCTAATTTTCACAAACGTTAAAAAAACGACGCTAATTTTTCAAACTTTGACGATTTTTTAAAATTAAACTTGCCGTAGGACCGTAATATTTTAGTATGATCTATAAGACTATGGTATCTACCGTCAAAAAAAAAATTATGAAAATCGTCGAAAAATTTTTTTAACACTCTATTACAAGAAAACGGCCCGGCCGATCTTTACCAAAAACTAATCAGGTCGATTCCCAACCAATATGTTTCGAACAGTTTTTGATTTTTCAAAATTGATTCAGAATTGCGGCCTAAAACGTGGACGAATTTTTTTTCACTTTTCTGGGATTTACAAAGAAACGGCTCGGCCGATCGTCGTACAAAAGTTAGAAACGCTAGTCCTCATCGAGATACATCGAATGGCTTTTAAATTTTTGAAATAGGTTCAGCCGTTTTTGAGAAAACGTCGATTTACGGTAAAAAATCTCATACTTTATCTAAATTTGGTCTCATTCGATTCAGAATGGCTTGAAACGTCGAGAAAACATAAAATTAGCAATTCGGATTTTTTGATGGAAACATAAACTTCTCCTTCGGGAAGTTAACAAATAGTATTATTAGCCAAACTTAAGTTGAATTTGAAAACATAAAAGTAATGATAATTAGAAATATTACAAATTTTGAAAATAAGTACATGCATATACATGACCATTTTTTGATATTTTTGACTAAACCTTTTTTCTAGTTATCGACAGTTTGTAGTTGTTCTTCTTAAAATTAATACTTACTTTATTACTTAAGATTTGCAGAATCATTAAAAATTTGGAAAGTTTTGAAAATTGAGATTTTTTTTAAACATTTAATTTTTTTTAAATAATATATGTACGATATTATGCATATAGATTTTTATAACTATGCTATAAAAATCTCTATATGACCCTAATTATGAGACTGGGACTCAAAATTATTGATGTCTTTTATAAATGTGATATATCACATGTTCATTTTTGGCCCTCTAAGAAACATTTTTGTATATTAATATTAACTAGCTAGAAATAACTAGCTAGAAATAAACTTCTCGATATATAAAAAAAAGCACTTAATTAATAAGAAGTGAGATTATCTATTCAAATAAAATTTTGTCTGTTTATTTTCAACATAAAGTTTTCGTCTTTCACTAGAATAAAAACAGTGTCCTCATTGAATTGCATCGGATGATTTTTAAATTTTTAAAATCGGTGCAACCGTTTCTGAGGAAACGTCAACGAAAGGTAAAAAATTGGATCACATTCATACATTACACACACAAACAAAAACTTTTTCCAGGTTTGGTCTGAAACGATTGAAAAGTCGTGATAACATGAAATTAGCAAATCAGATTTTTTGGCGTAAACATATACTTTCCTTTCGGAAAGTTAAATTATAATTTTAGCTACATATGACCATAAAATCCTCAATATGTTATATATATATATATATATATATATATATATAGATTACATATATAATATATACATTTAACATCGAAGGTCTTCACGTATTTTACCTTAACTCCCGCAGCACATTGTGCAATAATTTATTGATTTAACAAGCAGAATATGTGCGGGAATATAATCGTCCCAACATACAAATTAATATAAAATGAATTGATAGTGCAATTCATAACTCAAAAAACTAATAAATGACGTAATAAATTATATAAACCTTGCTAAAAATTATATAAAATAAATAATTAAAATATATACCAATACGAAATTGAATTACTTTTGGGAAACAATAGTTACGTGCTAAATATATCTAGAATTGAAAAAGATAATTTATGGTGAGTAATTTTAAACACATGTATATAAAGATATGTATATATATATATATATATCTTGATGATTTTTTGTTCGACGTTGAAATATATATATATATATATATTAAATTTTTTATATAATTTTGATGTTGAAATATGTGATATTCAGTTTTCAGGGCAATACATCAATTAAAAAAAATTGTATGACTTTAAAACATTTTTATTTTTTCCATACGTTTCGACACATAGTTTTGTGTCATCTTCAGTGGACTCTATTTTGAAGGTACAGATAAAATTATTAATTAAAACTAATATATAAGAAGTGATATGGTATGAACTTACATGTAATTGTAATAATCCTAATTATTTCCTAATTATAATTGTTCACAATGCACAATGAAACCAATTCTTGTCACTTTAAATGTAACAATAATAAATTTTTTGAATGAGTTATTTTATGAATTTGTAAAATACATCCCGCTATACTGTATTCCGATGCAAGAGTGAAGCCAAATGTGCACAAATGTGCACACCACGTGTTAGAAGCTAGGTATGTTTTAGTCATACAAATTTTTTTAATTGATGTATTGCCCTGAAAACTGAATATCATATATATATATATATATTATATGAGATAGGGCGATATCAATGCCCAACAACTATCAAACTATGTTCAGTATCAATCAAACTACTATCGAACTATGTTCAGTAAAATTCGCAGTTAAATCCTTATTATAGAAATATGTTTTTTTTTCTTGTCTTTACTGTCCCTTCTTATCCCATGAGCGGGGTAAGAAAAGACAATCCGGAGGCAACCTTTAAAATGATTTTACAAAATAAGAGCTATATTATTTAACCAATGTGACAAACAAAATTTGCCGGAACATTTTTCACAAAAATTTCAGTGTATATAAACTTGACCTATTATTTCGAGATAAATATTCATTAGCAAAGGTCGATAATTCAGTTTATCTCTTGTAAAATCACTTTCTAAATTTAATTTACTTCTTTATTCACTACTTCTCATTGTTTATCGGCTCTTTATGGAAGTTATATAAACAAAACTGTCAAATTCCACTCAAAAATAACAACACATATCTTACAAAACAATTAAATAAGTTATATCTAAAAATTATATTCAGACATCATAAACTAAATATAAGAGCTCAAAACCAAAAAATCTATCAACGAAAAAAAACTTTTGGTATGAATATTGATACATTTCGGCGTCGTAAGGCTGACATCTTTTTCCATCGAATTTAAAACAGTATAATTGAAAAATTCTATACTTTACTTGTTTTTGAGATAATAATTGTCAACCTTTTTACTCGCGGGCCTTTAAGCCGATATTGGAACGATATCAATTGGGAATCGCATTGATTAGATTTTAGTGCATCTAAATAGCAGAATCTCAATTTCTATTGATTAATTTAATTATTTGCATTCTATTAACTAAATCATTCTATTGATTTGTTCTATTAACTTATGTCGGGAAGTTATGTCGGAAAGATGCATTTCCCGTGCCAAAATGCCACTTGCACCAATAATCAATCAAAAGAAGATTTTATTTTTACAAAAAATTAAATTATTTACAATTTGTCTTAGGATTTTTTTTTGACCTTTTGATATAACTTAATCACAATTCATTTGTTACAGACATGGGGGCGCAGTCTTGCAAGCCACTGGGAAAGTCGAAATTGAACGCCCCAATTGGTTATGTATTAGATCATGTCATAAGTCAGGCTGATAAAGCTAGTTCGCAATGTATGCTTTACAAGATAGTGAATTACAAAAAAGGTAATTTTATTCAATGATATTCCATCAGAGACATACGTCAAAAGTATGAAAACATACTGACTAAGCATCCTAATATTCTAGCATATAAGTTGTTAGATCAAATAAAAAATCATCCATCTATTATATATCCTGTCAACGAAATATCGAGAATTGTTTCATAAAACGCAAAATAATTGCTGAACCAAAAATTTTTTTGTCGCCTTTGAAATATGCTTACTCGAAGTAATGAACACATGCCAACCATTGACCCATTGTCAAAGCACTTTATAAAAGCCTGTATAGGGATCGCCTTCAGCCAATTCTTAGTGACATCTATCGACCCAAAGCGGTTTCCAACGAGTATAAATTTACGTTTTTGAGAAGAAATAATTTACATAGAATAAATCTAGCGATTATGGTAGTTGTATCATGATATTTCACGATTTAGATAAAAAAAATCGTTCACAATATGGGCGGCGGTACGTATCATGGCGCAAGATTCATTAATTTTCTTTCCACAAATTGCATAGATTCTTACGCATAATTTTTTGAAAATGCTGCATTACTTCTTTACCATCAGAACCATCTGAAACAATTTCTTAGAGCACAACATCACCATAATCAGACAAAATCACCAACATGACTTCAACTTTTGACTGACTTTGATGTGATCAAAAGTTAAACTCTTGGTGTTGGCTCTTCTGACCTGCGCCATTTAGCTGCCTGTTGAATGGTTTCGACGTCAAATTGAATTACTCATATTTGATAACATTTTATTATGCGCTTCGGTCCAAATTCACTTGTCCAAACATGTCTTCAGCCACCTCTTTTCGGTAAATTATTTGAAGAAAGTTTTTGATTGTTCGACCCGTGAAACGTGCCTATGGGGTAATGATTTGTTAGATACGATAAGAGTTAAGAACTAACATAGGTTTTAAGCAAATTTCCTTGACTTTGGCGACGTTTTCATCCATTGAAGACATTGATGGACGATCAGATATTCCACGACTCTTCGACCCTCTGCCAATGCTATCAATGTGCCAGAAATGACACATTAATTACCATGGACTCAGCAACTCCTTATGCTTAGTAGTTTGAAGCATAGTGTAAATATCAAAATATAGTCAAAAAATAGTATTATAGGTAAATTTTTTTCTTGAAATTCACAAATAAAAAAGAATCAATATACAGTAAAATCGGACTTTACGAAGTCGAATATTTCTGGACAATTCGCAAAGAAAATACTGCTGGATATAGCAGATGCCAATTGACACGTGACTAATGAAATTGTTCTTGAATAAAACGTCATTTAATAATTTTTAATCAACTAAATTTCATGATGCAATTTATTTTTTGATTAATGTAAATTAAAAATCAATAGTTATTGTAATAAAATCAATAGTATTGAACCGTTGATAAGATTTAAAAGCCCCAGCAAAGCGTGGCCGAGTATGCTAATACCTATGTACATCTACCTATATATATGAAAGGGTGTAATGATCAAGAGTCGTGTGGACTGGGTCGTGAGTTTGATCCCCGCTCTGGACAACCGGACATCGTGCAGTAGCGATTTTCATTTTCACTTGAAAATATAGATAAAAAATATGTTTCCAAATGAAAATAGTCCATTTTGGGCACAGCGGTGCGAAATGGAAATGAGAAACCTATCACACTATACTTCCCAGAATCGAGTTGGAGTTTAATTTAGCTCACGGAGCTGCCCTAGGGCAGTACTACCCATTATATACATATATGTACATTAATCATATTTTACATTTTTTCCCCATAACAGGAGGTGAATTAATTGATGCATACAATTTCGGCGGGCAAAGTGAAGTAGAGAAGCTAATAAAGGGACAATTTGGAGTGTTGATGTACTGCAATGGCCATGGTCAGAAAATAAATCGCGCAGAATACTTAAGATGGAAATATCGTGATCATAATCAAGTAATATGTGATAATTTCTAAATAAGATTGAAGTTAAATTCAGATATAGAGCCCATTTTATAAATTTAGTTGTGAAAATAGTATGGATTTAAAGTTTGCTTCAATCGTACTTTGCTATATGAAATACGTAGCATATTTGCATGCATTAATTATAAGATTGTCGTTTTTTCCACAATAAAAGCTCTCAGTTTCTCATCATTGATTTCATAAATAGTAAATCGAATCACCTGAAGGTTTTAGGTGTTGCACCGCCCAGCAACTAATTAGCTAGTAGTTTACTTGTTACTAGATCGCTTCACTAGTTAGTTTAGCTAATGAAGGAATATAATCAGCAAAGTTTGTGGTTCTTCTTTACCGAAAACTTTTCCCTGTTCAGTTGATTCACTTTTAATTCTGTCCTTGATTTTTATTTTTGTACTAATTGTAATGATTATATATATATATATATATATATATATATTTATTACATCCATACGTTTCGGCTATAATCCTAGCCTTCACTCAGGGGAAAGATTTAATGCTAATCTTTGTGTTAAATCATGAAATGTATGTTTGTTTTTATTGATGCTATCCCCGATTCTTAGACTTTGTTAATTTATATGTCAACATAAATATATTATTTATATAATATAATAATTATAATATAATATTTATATAATATAATATATAAATATATAATTATATAATATTGATAAAGATGGCTATGCTTATTGATCAGGTAGCGGTACCGATTGAATCTTCTCTATCTCCTCACGATCCCCTGAGCAAGTGGCAAGATCACAAAGCTTGTTGGCAAATGCGTTATCGTGGTCTTTTGGGTGAAAGTATGCTTCATGTTCTCATCATATGTGATACCAGATTACATACAAAATTAGCAAGAACACTATTAAGATGCTTTCCAAACTTAGCCTTAGATGTTGTCGAAGGAGAAGAATATCTTGGTAAATAGTTAGAAAATATGTGATTAACATGAAGTTTTTTTTACATGTATGTATGTTATGTAGAGCTTCAAACAAAAAATCCAAAAATTAATTAAAAACAAAAGAGTTTTTTTAAACAACCATTTCTTTATTTATTTACTTCGACGTTTCGGAACTAGGTACGTTCCATCTTCAGGACATCTTTCAAGAAACATGATCTTGATAAGATTTAAGCAAATAATTTAAGAAGAGCAGAAGATGATGGATTTTTTAATTAATAAAATTGTTGAAAAAAAAAACAATTTTATTAATTAAAAAATCTATCATCTGCTTTTCTTAAACATATTGTTTGCTTAAATCTTATCCAAATCATATTCCACTTTTCCAGTGTACTTACGATGCACTTACTGCCGGATCACTTTTCTCCATTGCACATACTTCCAGAACACTTTTCACCGTGTGCGCGGTCACTCGATTAATCAGTAGTCGAACAGTGCTGACAACAATCATTTTCCACATGGCTTCTCACACTTAAGGCATGACCCTTTTTCATATTTTGGTTTAGAGCACTTGAACGCATTTACCCTATACTGCCAAATGTAACATTCCACAAAACTCACGCTTTGTGCTTTTGATCTCAAAATTTCTACTGGCTGCACTTCCTTCAGCTGTGCTGCACAATCTTCATGTTCGTAACATTTAACAGAACTTGCACATTGTGGTTCATATCTAACTCTTCATAGCTTACAAATTGCTGCTCGATATACTCTTACTCTTAAAGTTGTTGGCTGCTTTGATTAAGTTAATCAAATCTGCCAGTGAAAGCGACACCATGCTTTCAATACTTACTCCAAGATCCATCATATAAAATCTTCAAATTTCTCAATAAACTCAAATTTTCCACAACAAATCTGGTAACTATTAAACCGCCTAATTAATAAGTACACTCACAATTATTGAAATCGCCCATTTCAATAATCACCACTTGCATTAATCATTGTCTCTGAACCTGTCAATAGACATCTCAAGTCAGATTCTAATAATCCTAGCAGTGAAATCTGGTATATCTTGGTATTTTTGGTTAAACTCACTGATAACTGTTAACCACCTGTTAATTATAATTAAAAACACAATTTGAACGTACATTTCATATCTTTTGTAATTCAGCATCAACATTATGTGCACTATGCATATAAAATTACTATAAACATATAATATTAATAATATACATTCTATAATATATTTTGCACAACAGTTTTCATAAAAAAATATTTTTTTATAAATATACTTTAATAATTTTTTTGTAAAATGTTAAAATTATACAATTAATAACTTCTACAGGAGCCAGTGCATTACATTTAGCGATTGCATACAGTAACAATGAACTTGTGCAAGACTTACTTGAAGCAGGAGCTAATGTTAACCAGCGCGCAATAGGTAATAGTTTTTATCATAAATTTTATTATATAAATTATGATATTAATTATTCAGTTATGTTTGAAAATTTATATATATATACAGGGTGGCTGATATGTATTGCAACCAATTTCAGACCGCTATCATTTCTAAACCGCTCATCACACATATGACAGATTTATTCCAGAGATTGTTCATTTAGTTGTTTACAAGCGTACAAAAGCATTTTGATCTATTGCATTCATCAAAAAAGTTATTCGTGATGGAAGTCAAGCGTGATAGTGCGATTGCTTCATATTTGGCTGGAAAACGTTAAGTGGCTATCTTTAGAGCCCTCCAGCATTAAAATGCGAACAAATATTTTATTTCTCGTACCATATCTCGTAACCGTGATACACTCAGTGTTGCACCGCGTCCAAAAAGTGGACGAAAAAAACACCAGAAATGATCTAAAAAGTTTAGGCATAAATCAATCGAAATTCGTGTCGCAGTGGTAAAAAATGGCTCGTGAGCTGAACACATCGAAAAAACGGATGCAACACATATTGAAAAATAAACCTGGACTAAAGCCATTGAAGTTCCAAAAAGTGCAAGAGCTCATCGATGCACAAAAAAAAGTTAGACGGGAAGAAGCGCAGGGGTTGCTTCGCTTGCACGGAAGTGGCTAGTTACCAATTTTGGTTTTCTCAGATGGGAAGTCATTCCAAATCGAGCAGTTTGTGAACAAACAAAATGATAGGGTTTACTTGCCAACAATGTCAGCTAAAAATTTACACCTTCGATTGGCCACCAGAATTCAAGCGCCGCCGACGGTAATGGCGTGAACCACCGTAACGGCCGACGGTGACATTCCGCTCTCATTCATCGACCGTCGGATCAAAATAACTGCCGAAATTATCGGGAAAATGTCTTAAAGGCAGTATTGAAGTCCTGGGTAGACAAAAATTTCGGTTGCAGACCATGGACAATCCAACAGGACTCAGCTCCATCAAACTCAGCAAGCGTCTGCCGAAAGTGGCTTAAAAAAGAGGTTTTTCGCTTCTTTTCCATCGCACAATAGCCACCAAAATCTCTGGATCTAAATTCGTTGGACTTTTGTGCCTTGGACATTTTGGAGAGTAAGGTTCGCACTAAAAATACCAATGTGACGATCATCCTAAGAAGGCGCTTCGCCGGGAATGGGCTAAAATACCCCAGAGCCATTTGCGTGCAGCGTGTTATGGTTTTTCTGCCGTTCTGCGTGTTATGGTGCCAAAGGTGGCCAATTAGAACAAATCTTAACCGATTCTAAAATTTGAAGTCATTTCCGACATTTTTGCTTTTGTACAATGAAATTTAAAATGAAAATGACACAGTTATAGCGCTTTACTTTGTTGCATTACAAATCAGCCAACCTGTATATATATATATATATATATATATATATATATATATATATACATATATTATACATACTTTACTTTACTCTAGGAAGCTTTTTCCTGCCGCGTGACCAACAGCAAATACGCCGGTGCAAATACACCGACTACGAAGGACTGGCATATTTAGGTGAATACCCTCTTGCATGGGCCGCTTGTTGCGCCAATGAGAGCGTTTACAACATGCTCCTTGATAATGGTGCTGATCCTGATTTATGCGATACTTTTGGAAACACAGTATTGCATATGGTGGTTGTCTGTGACAAATTGGTTGGTATATTTGAATTATGGATTTTCGGAACAAATACGATTTTTTTTTTGTTTGAGACGATTTTGGCAAGCATCAAAGTTTTCATACCATTATTGCAGTTATTCAATACACGAAACAATAACATTACATAACATTCATTTCATATAACATTCATTATATAAAACGAGCATTACCCGCAGCCTGATGTCAAGCCGTAGTAACATCGGTTTTTACTTGAAAATGTGGATAACATTCTATTTCCATGCAAATATAGTACTTACACAGTCTTGCTGCCATATTCCATTCAGAAAAGCAATTGTGGGTTTGTCTTCACCTTTTATTTACGGTCTATTTTCTCATTACAAATCCTTTTCATAACTCTCTAAATCTTCTTATAATAAGTAGAATTGAGCGTTTGCATCTGAAAAGTAACTGTAAATGCGCTTTTGTTACTTTTATAGAAAAAGAACAAGAATAAGTAGCTTGTGATAGATCTTATGAGTAAAGCCCTACGGGAAGTTAAAAATACATATAATGAATAAAAGGCAGCAAATATATCAAATTCTATATTTCTGATGGCAGAGGCCTCTTCTTTATTTTTACACGAAATTTTCTATTATATAGGAATGATTTTAGGGTTTTGAAGTAAGAAGAAAATGTTAAAAAGTTGTTGTATAAAAGTCCGGAATGCCACACCTTGTGGAACGCCTTGCTAACATCTAAAAATACAGGCACACGGTGTTCCTTTTTAGTTAAGGCTTCCAGGCTGTAAGACATAAGCCTGTTGCACTGTTGTGTAGTGAAATGTTTCTTTCTAAAGCCGAACTGATGGTTCGGTAGCCAATTAGTATGAGGATAATTTTCGAGCAATCTGCGATATAGTTGTTTTTCCATTAGTTTAAAAAGAATTGGCAAAAGAATGATTGGTCGATGTGAAAGTGATGTGAGGGTCCTTGTTTGATTTTGCTTTCATAATAATTTTAGCTGTCTTTTAAGCGATAAGCCAAGAAATAAATTGTAATATAGAATTATAGATATTGGTTAAGAATAAAACTGATTTCATGGGCAACTCTTTTAGCATTTCTGGCGTTATTTTGTCTAATCCGGGAGCAGACTTAATTTTTAAATTCTTAATTGCTTCAGAAACGTCATTGGGTGAAAAGTGTCTTATTGAGGATTGGATATTGACTGTAGTAGTTGTACTATTTCTAAATTTGGAGTAGTTTTTTAAGCACTGTAAGTAATTTGCAGGTGATCAGCAAATGCTTCCGCTTCATCTTTTGTACTCTTCGCCCATTTGAAGCTGTTTTGGTGTGGTATTTTTAAAGGATAATTTATTTGAGGTAGTTTACCCTTTCGTTTAACATGTTGTCAAATTGAGTTATCAAATCTATTAAGTTCCATCAAATAGGATTTGAATGAAAGATTTTTCTATTCTTTTATTTTTTTCTTACGATATTATTGAGGTGGTTGAGAGAAGTCTTACCTGAAGGCTTATGCGACTGTTGCTAAGTGTGTCAAATAAGTTTTTGATCTCAATAAGAATTGTTATGTTATTCTTTGTTGCCTTTGGGATCGGAAAAATTTGTTCTGTTGTTGTGCATAAGATTTCTGTAAAAAAATGTAGTTATGTTTCTATATCATTCGTGTTTCTTGGTTTAATATTTGCAGGTGTTTTTGAGTTTAGAATTTTTTGTAGTGACCTAGTCAGAGAATTTATTATGAAGAAATTGAATGGAATGTACAGAAACCGTAGCGTACTAAATGTTAATATGATTGGGGAATGGTCTGAAGATGAGTCATAGCTACGGTTCAATATTCATTTGAAATTTGGAAATGCCTTTAACGATAAGAATTCCAAGAGATCTGGGAATTTACTTGGAATTTAAAGCCCCTCCGATGATGAATTTAGATCCAATTTGAGAAAAAAATGATGTAAACTCTGAGAACAAAATTTTGATTTTTGGTGGACAGTACACTGCAGATACACGGATACTCGTATAATAAAGATTGGTTACAATCGCAATTTGCGTTGCTTGAATAAATTGGGTGATTAGCATTATAAACTGTATATTCGTATTATGTATTCACACACACAAACACATACTTTTTCCAAATTTGGTCTCATTCGATACAGAATGGCTTGAGACGTCGAGAAAACATAAAATCAGCGAATCGGATTTTTTGATGAAAACATAAACTTCACCTTCGGGAAGTTTAAAAATCTATAAAAGTTTTACCTCTTAATATTAACATTTAGATAGTGCGCAAATCAACTAAAAATTTCTTATATTTATTATTAATATATGTGATTAGGTAAATTATTGCGCCATCCGTCATAGCAGATTTTTAGCACTTGTAATATATATACATATATTTATATCTGTTTGTGTGTGTATAATTTCCAGGACATGTTTGGGTATGCACTGCGACATCCTAAATTGCCTGCGAAAAATGGTATGTTAAATTATGCTGGATTAACTCCTCTAACATTGGCTTGCACTTTGGGCCGTGCGGAAGTTTTTCGTGAAATGCTGGAATTATCAGCAAAGGAGTTTTGGAGATATAGTAATATAACCTGTTCCGCATATCCACTTAATGCTTTGGATACTTTACTGCCTGATGGACGAACAAGTATGAACTCATCAATAACATATGCTTTTATATCGCTTCTATGAATATGAATATATATATATATATATATATATATATATATATATATATATATATATTATATATATATATATATATAATATATTTAATTTGAGTTACGAAGTCGAGCGTTACATTAATAAAAATAGTATGAGAGTTTTTAGAAATTTATTTAAAATCCATACGTTTCGGCTAGCATCTTAGCCTTCATTAAGTGGCAATCAATCTAACATTTTGCACCCTATATATATATATATATATATATATATATATATATATCTTACATATAAAATTCTTCCGTAACAGGGTATGAATGGTTAATCCTCTTAAACTATTATTCGGATTTTCATAAATTCCTCGTGAAGATTGTTAAGGGAGTTTTCTAGGATTTTTTGATTCATAGAAATATAGTTAGACTGTAGAAAAAAATATAAAAAATCACAAAAAACGCTTATCATTGTTTGACCATATTTAAGGCATAGTTTGACATTAAAAACAAATGAAGACTGTCATTTGCCAAATATTTCTATTCAATTATAGGCTAAGGCAATATTAAAATATAATAAATTCATGATTAGAAATGAGGAAAATGTAATGTCTACATTATTATTGCGGAAAAGCAGCTGAGATGTGCCAAAAATTAAAACTAGTGGGGTGTATGGCATCGTGCCTAAAAGCAAATGCTGGAACTTCCCGTACCGTAACGAAATGTTCGAGGAATTTTGAATGTTTTCAAATAGATTATTATAAATAAATATTGTAACATTGTCTAATATTTATAAGAATTATATTAACTGAATTGCAAAGTTGAAATTATTTGTTTGAAGTATAATCATTAAAGTATAATTAATTTGTTTAAAGAACTATAGTCAGAATTAAAAATAAAATCTGAATTATTTTCGATATACAAAAAAAAATTTTTTTGAAAAAAAAATGTTGAAACAGAATTTTTTTTCCAAAATCAATTATTTTGTTAAGACAAGCCGAAAGTTCTTTGAATCATTTAAATCGGACGCTTAGTTCTCTCAAAAACTGTTAGCACTCTAGAATTTGAATCCAGCGATCCGAGTTCAAAGCTCGGTGGACCTTAAATTGATACAGCTGGGGTTTAGTACCGTTTCTCTTTTACCATAGATACTTATGAAGGTACTATGATTGTTGTATAGAAAACAATTACTTACTTTCCTGTACTGACCGTAGATTCCATGGTGTAATGGTTAGCGCTCTGGACTTTGAATTCAGCGATTCGAGTTCAAATCTCGGTGAAACCTTGAATTGATACAGCTGAGGATTGGTATCGTTTCTTTTTTACCTAAGATAACTATGAAGGCACTGTAATTGTTATATAGAAAACAATTACTTACTTTCTTTGACTAACCGTTGGTTCCGTGGTGTGATGGTTAGCACTCTGGGCTTTGCATCCAGCGATCCGAGTTCAAATCTCGGTGGAACCTTGAATTGATGCAGCTGGGCTTTGGTACCCTATCATTTTTACCTAAGATAGTTTTAAAAGCACTGTAATTGTTGTATAGAAAGCAATTACTTACTTTCTTTTCCTAACCGTCGGTTCTATGGTGTAATGGTTAGCACTCTGGACTCTGAATCCGGCAGATGGGATTTAGTATCGTTTCTCTTTTACCATAGATACTTATGAAGGTACTATGATTGTTGTATAAAAAAACAATTACTTACTTTCGTGTACTGACCGTAGGTTCCATGGTGTAATGGTTAGCACTCTGGACTCTGAATCCAGCGATCCGAGTTCAAATCTCGGTGGAACCTTAAATTGATACAGCTCGGATTTGGTACAGTTTTTTTTTACCTAAGGTAGTTATGAAGGCCTGTAATTGTTGTATAGAAAACCATTACTTACTTTCTTCCACTAACCGTCGGTTCCATGGTGTAATGGTTAGCACTCTGGACTTTGAATCCAGCGATCCGAGTTCAAATCTCGGTGGAACCTTGAATTGATACAGCTGGGCTTTGGTACCGTTTATTTTTTACCTAAGATAGTTATGAAAGCACTGTAATTGTTGTATAGAAAACAATTACTTACTTTCTTTCACTAACCGTCGGTTCCATGGTGTAATGGTTAGCACTCTGGACTCTGAATCCAGCGATCCGAGTTCAAATCTCGGTGGAACCTTAAATTGATACAGCTGGGATTTGGTACAGTTTTTTTTACCTAAGATAGTTATGAAGGCCTGTAATTGTTGTATAGAAAACTATTACTTACTTTCCCCAAATAACCGTCGGTTCCATGGTGTAATGGTTAGCACTCTGGACTCTGAATCCAGCGATCCGAGTTCAAATCTCGGTGGAACCTTGAATTGATACAGATGGGATTTAGTATCGTTTCTCTTTTACCATAGATAGTTATGAAGGTACTATGATTGTTGTATAGAAAACAATTACTTACTTCCGTGTGCTGACCGTCGGTTCCATGGTGTAATGGTTAGCACTCTGGACTTTGAATCCAGCGATCCGAGTTCAAATCTCGGTGGAACCTTAAATTGATACAGCTGGGATGTGGTATCCTTTTTTAGCCAAGTTAGTTATAAAGGCCTGTAATTGTTGTATAGAAAATCATTACCAACTTTCTTTCACTAACCGTCGGTTCCATGGTGTAATGGTTAGCACTCTGGACTTTGAATCCAGCGATCCGAGTTCAAATCTCGGTGAAACCTTAAATTGGTACAGCTGGGATTTGGTACAGTTTTTTTTACCTAAGATAGTTATGAAGGCCTGTAATTGTTGTATAGAAAACTATTACTTACTTTCCCCAAATAGCCGTCGGTTCCATTTCTCTTTTACCATAGATAGTTATGAAGGTAATATGATTGTTGTATAAAAAACAATTACTTACTTTCGTGTACTGACCGTAGGTTCCATGATATAATGGTTAGCACTGTGGACTTTGAAACCAGCGATCCGAGTTCAAATCTCGGTGAAGCCTGAAATTGATACAGCTCGGGTTTGGTACATTTGGATTTGGTTTTTTTTACCTAAGGTAGTTATGAAGGCCTGTAATTGTTGTATAGAAAACCATTACCAACTTTCTTTGACTAACCGTCGGTTCCATGGTGTAATGGTTAGCACTCTGCACTTTGAATCCAGCGATCCGAGTTCAAATCTCGGTGGAACCTTATATTGATGCAGCCGGGAATTGGTACAGTTTTTTTTACCTAAGATAGTTATGAAGGTACTATGATTGTTGTAAACAATTACTTACTTTCCTTGACGAACCGTAGGTTCCATGGTGTAACGGTTAGCACTCTGGACTTCGAATCCAGCGATCCGAGTTGCATTTTTTACCCAAGATAGTTATGAAGGCCTGTAATTGTTATATAGAAAACAATTACTTACTTTCTTTTGATAACCGTCGGTTCCTTGGTGGATTGGTTAGCACTCTGGACTTTGAATCCAGTGATCCGAGTTCAAATCTCGGTGGAACCTTAATTTAATACAGCTGGGATTTAGTATCGTTTCTCTTTTACCATAGATAGTTATAAAGGTACTATGATTGTTGTATAAAAAACAATTACTTACTTTCGTGTAGTGACCGTAGGTTCCATGGTGTAATGGTTAGGTTGAAATCAGCGATCCGAGTTCATATCTCGGTGAAACCTTAAATTGATACAGCTGGGATTTGGTACCTTTTTTTATCTAAGATAGTTATGAAGGCCTGTAATTGTTGTATAGAAAACAATTACTTACTTTCCCCAAGCACGTCGGTTCCATGGTGTAATGGTTAGCACTCTGGTTTTGAATCCAGCGATCCGAGTTCA